ATATCCCCCATGTTGTGATAGACTGAAGTACGCCACCTGGACCCAGCATTAACACGGACCACTAGTTTGTAACAGCAACGTTACGCACCGCCTCTAAACAGCACGGAACAACCATCAACATCAGCCGATAAGGTCAAATGAAAAGCTGGTACGATGAGGATTGCCGTTGCGTAGTGAAGAGAAAATACACTGCCTACCTCGCAACGGTGTGATCGACCACAACACGTGCGGAATGGGATACATACCGAGAGTATAAGAAGAAAATGTGACGCATATGCAGACAAAAAGAGATTGAAAGCTTGACGAGAGTGGTTAGGCTAGACTTCTTTGAGGTAGTTTCAAATAAAAGTCTTTAAGTGGTAAGAAGTAGATTAGAGCTAGAGATCCCTTCATCGGGAGGGGAGCTTTGCCGACTTATTGTGGAGGACGAAGTTCGGGAACACCAGCTATTGTAGACAAGAAACCGGAGAACCGAACGGCTATTTGATTTTTATAAGAAGTTATTATTCTATGTGAGAAGAGCACTCGAAGAGCTTGACATTTCCTGCCGTGCAAATCTGGTCAACCATATGTTAGTAACCTAAAGATTCGGCTACAGCGGCCGCCTATATACGAGTACATCCAATCATCAAATAAAGAGTTGCGAACTCATATCTTGGACGTACTTCATTATTATCACTTAGGATTTCGCTATGAGCCGACCAGGGATCTGCACAAATGTCAGTAGTAATGCCAGACTTGAACTTCAAAGCCGAGTCACTCTTGCCAAAAAATACTGCCTTGAACTGAGTACCAGTTGGTGGCACCGGTGAAAGAACAAATTTACTGCTGTGGATAGATAAGGTATCCACGTGCCTGACTTTCGAAAAAATTTTGGTTACAACAATAAAGGCGAATGGTTGTATCAAAGGGCTGTGGGTTGCAGAGAAAGCTCTGCGTATCTTTACCGATGTTGCTAAAATGAACCACTATAAGGTGAGTTTCTTGGGTATAAAAACTAATGGACAACGAAAGTAATAAGATTGACGATGAACTAGCTGTTGAAGTGGCTAAAACTTGTTTATTTTCAAAACAGAATTCGAAGTTCCAAGTAAAGCATGAACAAGAAACGATCAAGATTCCTTGGGCGACAGGAATTTTAGGACGAGTCAAAGGGCTGTAGAATGCGAAAGCTATTTTCCAAAGCATTTGAGTCGAAGCTTACTAAGTATTTACTAGGGAAAAGGAAAGACAGACTCCTGGCTGCCAGTAAGACCATTAAAATGTCATTGCCAGTTGGTCTCATATGCGTTCAATTTAGGTTTTCTAAGGGGCATCGAGTGCTGTAAATGCCAGCAACGTGGAGCACGTAATCTGTGAGTGCCCCGTGTTGTTGCAGGACCTTCAATGACGAAAGCACGAAAAATTTGCAATGAGAACAGCAATGTTCCTCAAAATATAGAGACAACACTGTCCACAGGGCATATGGCGGTACAGCTTTGGTCATATGGAAAGTAACTGGCAACACTTTGGATGTTATTGCATCTCAGTGAGATTCGCCAGAGGCTTGAAGGATACATAAAAATATGAAATTTTACGGTGTTGTGATGAGGTGATGCATGCATAGCGCAAGTGTATAAAATTGGGTGAGAAGTTGCCAAGTGAGCGATCCGCCAAGAATTGAGGAGCGACAAAGAAAATTGCCAATCTGCCGCCAAAAAGAGTGCTGCTGGAAAGCATGGATATGCTGCTTCCCCCAGCTGAAGTTGATATACATACTATACACACACATACTTTGTGTTTTTTTTTTCTTTATTTAGTTCTGGTGGCGTTGGTGTGGTGCGCGCCCACCAATGTGAAATGTTGCGCCCTCTGTGTGTAATAAATAATATTTTTTCGCATAAAATATGTTATCCGATTTTCATGGCATGCCGAATAGCGGTAATATTTCATTTTTTATTACCTTACCATGGTTGTATGTTTTTTTTTTTTTTTTGACAGAGTGTGAGTATACTTCAATGTATAGTGCATATACAAATACAGAGGTCTTCTTATATATGTATGTATGTATTAGACTGGTCAAAAAAATTACAAAAATTTTATTTTATCGAAAATGATTTTGAAATACAATTAAGGGATTTAAAAAGCAAACTTATGTTCTTAATTAATATTTAAATTTAATATTTAAAGGCCATGCATCGGCAAAAAAAATTATTGAAAAATATAAAAATAAAAGAAAATTATATATATATTTTTTTAAATTAAACTAACTTATTGGATATATATGTATATATATGTAAATTATAATAACCCGATTTTAAGGCACTTGAAATATATTAATATAATAAATCCACTAGTCATTGTATTGAAAATCACCCTTCCCACCATATTGACCCATCCTAATGTCTATAAGTAAATATACAGTTATTGTTGGCTACCTTTGCATAGCCAAACATTATTTGTGTGTTCATGCCACCAACATCCTTGACAGCGCAGCGTGCAGTTATTCATGCCATATTTTCTCACAATGATCACACACATACAGAGATATCTATTATGTACGAGTTTAAGCGGTCATAAAAAAAGGCAAAATAGAAATAAAAACACTCATACATTCTCAATCGCTGCATTCATAAATTTCAACTTGTTTCGCACACCTACATGAATAGTATATGTCGATGCGCCAAAAAGTATGCAAGCGAAGTGCTTTTATTTCACTCGCAATCAGGTCTTTTTACTTGTACTTTTCACCACCTTTATCAGCTGAGAACGTGTTTAGTTAATTAGAATAGCGGTTATATTGTCAGATTTTAAGCCTAGTGTAATGGCCTAAAAAAAAGGTGATTTTTGGGAATTTTTATTAAAAGAAAAATTCATCAATTATTTCAAATTTTTAAGAATATATTTATAAATGTTTCAAGAATATACAGTGAAATTTTTAAAGAAAAAATTATATATTTTTTAAGCTATAGTCGATCTCAAACGGCGCGAAAAGAAAGGTCCTTCACTGCTGCAGTGATTCCGGCCTTCTCTTCTGCCAAATTTCGATATTTTGATTAGATCAAAAATCGATAGGTCATTGTACGGAGAACTATATATAGAACATGTAAAAAAAAATTCGATAGTGATCTGATCATTTGTTTTTGAGTAATCACGGCAGCAAATTCGGAAAATGCTTTTTCGAAAAAAACGCGTTTAAAGATAAAATACCTCAGGTACGTCTCGTAGCTAATGAGACTCTCTAGCTGCCGAGCGGCTGTTCTTTAAATTGCTATAACTCAAAAACTATTTGAGATATCGATTGGAAATTTTAATATATTATATTTAAAAGGGTAATCTACCGAAATATGACTACTATGACCGAACGGCTGATGTATTTTATGACTAGAAAAATTTGTTTTTGACTGTTGGCCAAACCATGAATCGAGCCCTGGCCTGAGAAGTTTATTAGGCTAATGCTAACCACTCGGCTACTGTTGCCGCCCAATGATTTTAGTGACAAGAAAATTTGAATTCTTTTCATCTCATTAAATATATGTATATTGAATATTCAGTAATGTCGAAGATCGAAACTAATCAGGCAGACTCTTATAAAAGTTTACATTTAACCTGACTCTGATAATGACTTTAAATATCACTGACGGCTCGTTTAGAAGCTCCCTCGAAAATTCAATAGGAGAAGCTTACACAAACTGACAAGCCAGTTATCCTAAATCCAGCGACATTCTCCTATGCACTTTCATGGAGACTTGCAACGATTTCCCCATGAGCTTCTTTCGCACAAAATCTTCGTTTTCAAAGAGAAAGCTACACAGATTATAGCCGAATTAACAATAGTACGCCAATCTTTTCGTCTTTTAGCCGCTGGGCGTGAATTGGAGACGGCAAGTAATGGAGGTATTCCTCTTCCTCTACTTCCACCATCGACTAGTCCAACGAATACATTCAAAGCTAGCTAGGTTTTGTTGTATTAGCCGCTACATTTACACCGTTTAGGAGTAGGTCAATCCATCAAAGTCACCGAGTTCATCAGACGGGACATCCAGAAAACGTGCTGTTTTGATGGGATCAGACCAGAGGGGGAGGGGGGTTAGATGTGTCGGCTTAAGGCGGCATGTGAAGATGCCGTAAACACTTTCTGTGCGTTCGCTGAACTATGTCAATGACGTCGTGACTTCTAGAGTTTTTATTTTCTGTTTGTCGACTGTTCAAAAGTAGCACCTGTTGGCAAGATTGAATCTGCGTTGGATTGCCATTCTGACATTGTTAATGGTGTTAGTAGATAAAAAAAATTATCTACAGTGACTGGGAATAAATCATATTATCCTCGTTCGCTGCACTTTACTTCTTTGTCTAATTTGGTGAATGATCTGAGATACGATGCCGAACCACGAACCGGGATTTTTTCATAAGACTCTTTAAAGTTTATTTTAACTTACACCAATCGCATGCTGGGAACACTGGTTGCTTTTAACAACTCTTAAGCACCGATCAATAGCAATATGCACGAGACTGCTGAATTTCCGATCACACTTCACATTTCATTTCAGCATATGACGGCACTCTCCTGCAGTGAACCCGCTTGGAGGAGTGAAACTTGGCTTGTTAAAGTGAGCATAAGCACGTGGCCCTGCGAATATTCCTTACCGTATATTTAAATCAGCGTCAAAGGTGAAATGTCTTCACTAAAAATATTTCACGGATTTGATCGAAGACAGTATAACTTCAAAGTGAATTCCAATAAACATTCTAGAAAACGGTTTTTAACTAAATACAAATGTAAATAGTAACGTTCAAAGACAAAAAAAAAAAAATAAATAAAGCAACAACATTGCCAGATTGAACTAAATTTAAACATTTTACAATGGCAAGCACGTACCAGTAAAAGATGTGTCGTATACTTAATTACTTTCATGTGGCAGCACAATACCTATTTTTATTCATTTCTCCAAAAGATGTCACTATTGAGAAAGCTCTAAGTTTCGACAAAGCTCTTGTTAACAGCGGCGAATTCAATAATGTGGTATAAAGTGGACAGCTGACTGAAAAGCAAATAAACACGCAAAACAGCTCATGTAAAAGATTAGAAATGATAACAATCGTCGATGGCAACAAATAGGCAACTCGCCGATTTATTGCCTCATTCGTATACGGAATTGCTGCCGAATTGTTGTCGAGATTAAAAATAGGCTTTTACTTTCATCATAAACAAAAGATGTTTTTCTCTGTTACTCTCCCATAGCAGTGAAAATACAATACAATAAATAATAATACAATGGAAACTGAAATCTTTTGCGCAATTAAAGATGAAGGTAAGACAGAAATGGTACCAATATTTCTGCAGAATATGTAAAATAAATTGATTGTTCGTGATTTGAATTTTTCTCTAGAATCCCTTTCAGTGCAAGGTTCAATGCATTTAATCTTGAGCGAAGTGAAATCCCTACGAAGAGTTATAACTCATTTATCCAAAGAGGTTTTGTCGTTAAGGAACGAGGTTCGCCAATTAAAAAACATTCAGGAAGGCACTAAACCTGCTAAGCAGTCTACTCATCTTCCTGTCATGCCCTTCAATGAGAAAACAGCCTTCGACAAGTTTATTAAGGAACTAGCGGATAAGGAATCGGTCCTAAATGAATTCGTATGTAAAAAATGCATATTTTTGTTTTACTAAACATGTGCATATATGTACATATGTATGTATGTATGTGCTTCATTATTTTACAGAAAACATTTTTATTACGTCTTGATGCAACTGAACTTGCAGGTTTTCTGCGAGCTGCCATGAAAGCTGTATTAACAGATAATTTGGCACAACAATTTTCATGGAAGGGTACAAAGCGAAAACCGGCGCTGATTGGTAATGTTGCGGTGACAGTCATCAAAGGTACATATATGAAGTCTGGCAGTCAAATCTTCACTTTTGTATCATTTTTAGAAATATGCTACCGACATTTTCCAAATGCGGATGACTTTCGGATTAATACTATTCTCCAAAAGCATCTAATTTATGCCAAAGACAGGATAGAAAAGAAAAGGAAGCGTCATAGCGAGGGAAATAGTTGATTTCTTTTTAAAAATATAATCTTACAAAAAAAAAAATACTTTAAATATTTAAAAGAATCAAAGACACAGTTGTTGCTCAGATATCGTCTTGGAGATATTTTCTCAAGTTCTTGCGGCAATAAGAAATTGTCTTATTCAGGCAATAACAAAACGAGTCGACTAGTAGAGCCAAAGAACGTATATGAATAAGAAGCGGCATGACGGCAGAGAACGTAAATATAACGAGAAGGTTCAGGGCGTGCCGATTGTCATTTTGTTCCGCTTTGCAGTCGACGCCAGTTTTCTATGGATGCATTTCACCCCAGATTTCGATGAGCCCTGTTCACCACATTTTAACAGAGAAATAGCAGAATTGTGCTCAAAATAGTAGAATGAGTACAATAATGAGAATTTCCATGCAAAATAAATGTAAAATGATAAAAACCTATTGAAGATAAATGTAAACTATACATGTATGCTGTATTATCAGAAACTTCTGATTTCAATTTCTGTTTATTTGCTTATTTTAATTTGCAAATTTACTAATTTTTGGAATTTACTATTTTATTTTTATTTACTTACATATTTCTAATTTTTCTAATAATTTTTTAATGATAAAATTATTGGTAGTCATTATAATTGAGATATAACAAAACAAATTTAATTTAATTCTTTCATATATTATTCATTTTTGGCTTAAATATCGAAATAAGTAAACAAGTCAATATTCATTCATTCATTTAAACGTATGAGCGTGCGTACATACATATGTACATATTATATATGTATGTACATATGTTTGACAACACTATTTTAATAGCAAAAAAGTCCTTCTCGAGACGAACGCTGGCGCACCGTCTACCAAACGAGCTGCGCAGACAGCACACAACTCCCCGCATGCGATTCGCCTACGAACCAAAGTGCCAAAAATTGAAAGTTGAGCAAATTTGTGTCTTCTTCGACAACAGCAAATCGCGCACTCGATAGAGTGAACTTTTTGTTAAGAATTACAAAACTTATTTAAAATGAATGCCAAACAAATGTTTAGAAAAAAGTCTCATTATTTTTAAACATGAGCTTTTTCATTTAATTTATGTTTAGAAATTCGAAAAAATGTAAAATTTAATAAGAAACTTGAAATCAATGAGGAATTAATTTACTATATACAAATGACGCCTATAATTTCTAAAACTTCCTCGATTATTGAATTAATACATATTTTAATTATGAAAACTATAGGAATATTATTTAAAAAGGTTAATTAACTTAAGACAATTAAAGATTTCAATACAAATTACAAATATATGAAGTTATATACGAATCACTCCTTTAGCTGTTGACTAGCGATTGATATATTCGTGGTATACAAAGTTTACTGTACCTGAATTCGTACACCAAAATGCGAAAAATATGAAATCGAGCAAAATTTTGTGATCGTCGCGAAGAAATCGCTTGTGGATGGCGGGGTATAAGAGCAAGGGCTCAAGCATTGTTAAGATTGTGTGCGTTTTGCGTATACATATTAAATTGCTTGCATGTATGGGTTTTCACTTTGCGTGAGTTCAACATCAATTTTTCGATTTTTGCTAAAATTTGACTTTGACTTGAGGAAACTGTTTGTTGATGAAGAGTCGAAGGAAAGGGGGTTTACTCGTCATTCATTGAAATCGAACATTCTAGAATGTTCTAGAATTTTCTAGAACTTTTAGAATATTATAGAAATCCTTGCCACAATTCAACTTGTTGGACAAGGTGCATGCGGGAACGCAAGGAAATTGTTGCTGTGCTATATGAAGTAATAGGCGAACAGCAAATTAAGTTGGACGATGTCGATTTGCTTCAGTTCTGCAGACGATGATTGAATTTTTGTCAGTCGCAAGAATTTGAAGCAATGCTTGTGGACGACATATGAATGTTACGGGCTGAAGGAGAAGGGAATGCTTTGTATGTTGTTGGTGTTGCTTCACTTTTCGCGACCATAATGATTTTGTGTGTTTGTGTTTTTTGACACTGTCGCGAAGTATCGACTTGTTGGAATGGCATGCGCGGTGGTGTTTATGAATGGACGCAATTTGCTTTGTTAAAGGGCGCAGGCGTCTATGAATGAAAATGTTATTGTTGTAATTGATTTCAGCTTTTTGGCGAGAGAAGTATGTTTTCACACAAGTAATGTGTTTGTATGTTTTTGCATATGCATGTAAGAATACTTGTACATACATACATATGTATGTATGTATGCATGCATATATTTCTTGAGGCAAGTCAGTATTATGTATGTTGTATACATACATACGTACTTATGTATGCACAAATGTTTTTTTTATTTATAAGTTAATAAAATCAAACATCTCATTAATACGTTAAAATTACAAATCATGAATAAATTATCCTCTATAAAAAATGATATTGCGAAATGCCGACGGCAAATCGTCCCTTCATAAGGAAATTCTTCACTATTAGATAATACAGAAATTTGAAAAAGATGTACAATACATTAATGAAATAAATCCTTTCACCCCCATTCCAAAAAATATATTAATAATTTGAGAATAATATTTTCGTTTATTTTGATAAAAAGCCTACAAAAATTCGTTATCTAAAGTTAGCATAAACAATGTTAGTTGCAGAGACATCAGTACATTTCTGAGCATATTTAATTTTGCCACGCTCAGTAATGTTATGCATCAATAGCAAACTCTGTTAGTTTCTGGCGGCCTGTGGTGAAATGCACCCATCGTAACTTGGCAGCTTTTGACAGTTTACACGCTGGTCCGCAATTGAACCTTCTCGTTATATTTACGTTCTCTGATGACGGTCTCGTAAATTGGCTTTTTCAGAAAGAGCGTAAATTGAAGGTCCATTTTCAGGGTTTCGCGTCCTCTTCACACCATTCGTAGTTCGGAGGGGCGATATGTTGAAGCGAAACCAAATTTTCGCTTGAAAGGGTATCAGAACAAAAACAAAAGCCCAGTTGTATGAGAATTAGAAAAAATTGTTGAATGGAGCTGTGAAAAAGGTAAACAACCGAAATTTTGTTAAAATATTTATAGTAAATTGAGAAAAATTTAAAAAGCGACATTAACAACTAAGTGATTATGTGAATTGAAATCAAATAGCAGTGTAAAATGTCTTTTATCTGTGTATTAAAAGAGTGTAAATTTTAACAAAACTAGTGTACATTTTCATATTTACCAATGTAATAGTTCAATAAAAAATCTATACGTTCTTTGGTAGAGCTGTCTTCGGTCTACATTTTAGAGCGACTGGTACAAAGAAATCGATCCAATGGCAACATTACCGACGATAAATTCGTTTTTTATTACCGGCAACATAAATTTTAAATACAAAATATTAGAGTTGATATTGTTACGATTTTACTAAATCAACCTCGATTATTTTCCGAATACTTCGGGTACGATCTCTGGATTGTTAAATAAAACTCGCCNTTCATTTTGTCCAGTTTAACATGGGAATATTAAATACCATTCCATATTTATTCAAATGCTCGGTTAGTCATGTAAAATGTCACTTTATTTGCAAAACTTTAGTAAAGTCTTTGGCGTAGTGCTTACGCCTGCGCATATTTTGCCAGAAGCCTCGAGTTCGAATCTTTCTATCGCTTGTTGATTGGTTGGTGTTTGTTTTTTATTTTTTGAAATTGGCAAATTTTCAATCATTGCCTAGGAAATGCTTGTAGATGACGGGGTATTAGGGAAAGATGTTGGCATGTTTTTATGTATGTGTCGGTCTTTTATATACAAACAGAGACATTTGAATGTGTTTGTATATGACTTCAACTCAACTTAAAATTCTGATTTTTGTAGATTCTGTCATCGTCGCGAAGAAGTTGCTTGTGGATGGCGGGTACAAGGGGAAAATAAGTGGCAGGGTTTTGCGCAAGTGTGTGTTTTTCGTATACACATTGGTCTCTTTGAGTGTATGTGCCTTCAATCTCAGACCATGAATTTCTGATTTTTGCAAATTTTGTCATCGTCGCGAAGAAGTCGTTCGTTGATAGCGGGTTGAAAGAACGAAGGGCATGCGCATTATTAAGATTGTATGCGTTTTTCGTATACATATTAAAATGCTTGAATGTATGTGTTTTCACTTTGGCGTGAGTTGAACATCAATTTCATATTTTTAGCAAAATTTGACTTCGCTTGAGGAAACTGTTTGTTGATGAAGAGTAGAAGGAAAGAGGGTTGTATGTTGGAGTTGGTTTTGTTGCATTTGTGCTGCTTCTGCGTATATGAAGTTGTTCTTGTGATTGATCGCATGAATGGCTTATGGTTATGAATGAATGGGAATATTGGAAGTTATTTGCTTTTATGCCCATATTTACATGCATGTATATGTATATACATATGTGCAATATATATAGAATATTTAAATCATATTAGAATAAAAATGTTTAATATAAAAAAGCTATTTAATATAATTTCCTAATTTCATTTCATAGTATTTTCCAATTTATTTTGTGACTTGGTTTAAATGTTATATTTATTTATTAACATTTATGGATTATTCAACCCAAAAACTAATCAAGCAAACATCCATACATACATAATTCGTATGTAAATATTATGTCTTCATTTGCGTACATATGTACAACATGACCATGACAACGTATGTATGTATATATTATATAATATATGCCGCCTAGTTGAACTTGTAAAAAATATTCTTCGCATCGTCAACAAAGTGTATGCCGTAAGCAGCTCTACTCCCCGCACGCTGCTTGTCCACAAGCCACAGCTCACAAAAATCAGAAGTTAAAGAAATTTTTCTGTATCCGCTGCTCATAAACATGCTCTCGATAAGGCGAACAAATGTGCTGCAATTCAAAAATTAATGTTATTTAAATGCCCTCAAACCATACGATTTTGATAAATATAATTTAAACTTAGATCTAAAAGAGTTTAGTAATATCAAATCATTTCAAAATGTAGTAAAATTTGGCAAAACTACACCTTTAATTAGCATAAACTAATAAGCATACGCAATTGAAATCATGTACGCATTGTTCGCATAGACACGCGCGCATTGTTCACATCAGT